AGGCAGTCCCCCCTTCTTCCCTTGAGCCCTGGCCTGCCTTGGCCACCCCATCACTGCAGTCGCCCCTGTCCTATGCTGTGCTCACCTGCCTTCCCAGCCAGTCTTTAGCCTCTTGGCTTTCCCTTGGGCAGAGGGAGCCACTTGGTGGCACCGCTTGTCTTCTTTGTTTTGGGGAGGGGTATGAAGTGGGGGTCTTATGCACGACCACCTGCTAGTTATCTTTCCCAGTCAAGAGGAATAAAGTTTTGCTTCCATTCTGAGTGGTTATAGCTCTCATGGGGGTTGATGTCAAACCAAACTGACAAGGACACCATCAGGGCAGAAACATGGGTCCAGTGCAGGCTGCTGGATCTCCAGGTAGCCCTCCTGGTGCATATGGGCACCTGCTTTACCTCACCTCCTAACTCTTCAGAGGCTCCATCTGTACCTGCTTCTTCTCTGCCTCTCTGGATTATAACCAATGCAGGATGAAGGATCTGGAGCTCTCTGAGAATGGAGCCTAGGAAAAAAAAGGCCACACTGCAAGAGACTAAATGCCAGCAAGGAAGGTCCACTGCTGTCTAGGGTGGGATCAAGAAGACAGCCTGGTGGAGATTACCAGATAAGGAGTCTTGAAATTGCAGCCAGTCCTAGCCATCAACCAGGAATCCTGAACTTGCTACAAACCCTCTGAACAAGGGATTATCCTAAAATCCCCTGCCCCAGCAGGCTGAGTCTCAAGGCCCCTCAGTGAACAGGTGCATGCATTCAAGGCCCACTCTAAGGGAAGCATGGTGCCTTTGATGGTTCTACCTTCCCTGGGTAGGCCTGGCTATAGTTTCCTCTTGCCACAGTGCAACAGGGATGTCAGTCCCTTTCTCAATACCCCTTCTGCACGCCAAGGTCAATGTTGCCAAGTAGCTTCAGCCAGAACCCAAATCCCTGCCAGAGCCAGCACCACCACTCCACTTACAAGCAAGGGCCTTGAAGCAAGAGTCTCTGGGTCAAGGCATACCTGCCTCAGCTCATGAGCACCTGACACACTGTCTATGAGCTCTGCTAGAACTGCCTCCAGGCAGAACCCCAGAGCCTTTGGACCAATGCCAATTAGGAAGATCAGAGGGGGGGTGGGACGAGACTGGCAATACATATACGAAACCCCTAAAACTGAATCCTTATGAGATCTGAATAGTGTATAGGTAGGGGGACAACATGGGCAGCAGTAGGTCTTTTGGGATTCTGATAAATTTCCACCTGGGGTGGGACTGCTCACTAGGCTCCAGTTCACTAGTCCCAAGAAGATACCACCCTAGAGGCTGGCAGGAGACTACTGGATAAAACCAGAACCCCAGCCCTGCCCTGCCACTACTCCTACTGTGATCAATGGCAGGGGTGGGGTGGGGAAGGTATCCCACACTCCAGAAGCCTCTAGAAGCTGCCCAAATGGAGAGGCCAGGGACCAGAAGAACCACGTACAGAGAGATCCATTGCCACCTAGGGGGATGAGAGGTCCTCCTCAGGAATGTCCTTCCCCCTCCAGCCCTCGTGTCCCCAGGACACTACACCTTGGAGCACCCACCTCCTGCATGGAGCCACACCAAACCTATTACCTCCTCCCAGCACCGGCACTGACCCCACCTCAAGGAGACAACCCCGCTTTGCATCCTCTCAAGCCCCAGCTGCTGGGCCTGAGCCAAGGAACTTCCCAAGCTGAGCAGGGCTAAACCAGAACTCCCCAATCTCCCCTCCACATCACTTCTGGAGGGTAAAGACACAGGGCGAAAAGACACAGGGGAAAAGAAGAAAATGCCAAACTAGGTGGCAGGGGCCAAGGGGGTGAAATATGCCCCTGGTGACAGGAGACAGGCCAGTCCAGGCAGTGAGCTAGAAGAGGCCACCAGGGCAGAGAGGCAGGAGGGACACAGACTGGAGACCCATCCTGGCCAGGGGCCTCCCAGGGGAGGGCAGGTAGATGGGAACCCGTGTGCAGGCCCCATCCTGATTGTGAGCCAGCCACACTGAGGAAATCCAGGAGGACCCACTGGGCATGCTAGGAGGAGGCAGGCAGGGCTCAAAGGCCCGGCCACCTCAGCCAGGCCCAGCCACCTTGGGCACAGAGCCCAAGAGGTGGTGGCCCAGCCCCAGCACACCCCTTGTCTGGGCCTGCTGGCAAACAGATGCCAGGAGCAGAAGGGAGCCAGCCCAGGAGAGTGTGTCCCAGGGCCCATTCTCCAGCTGTGACCAGGGCACTAGGTCTCCCTAGGGACAGGAGTGGAGGCCCCTGACTAAAGATGGCTCCAGAGGCCCTGGATACAGGTGCCAAGGGGCAGGCATGCTGCTCCCAAGGGGTCCCTGGGTTCAACCTAGAGATGGGGGCCCATGGGGACAGCTGCTGGTGACCCCACAGGTCTGGAGCACAGGCTATGATACTCTAGGGAAGCTCCTCCAGGATCCTTAAGGGAGGCAGTAGGGTGAGGAGGAGGCAGCTTTAGGCTAAGTCAGGGTGAGCTGTGCGCGTCAGGATGGGGTCTGGCTCTCCCCTCTGCACAGCAGGCTGCTAAGAGCCCGTCCCCCACCCCCTGCAAGGGTGTAGGGCAGCTGGGGTTGGGAAGATGAGGCTCCAACCAGGCCCCCTGAGATCATCCCAGGCAGAGGAATCAAGGCTTCTCCCCGTTTCTCCCTGCAGAGCCTCAAAGGATGGGAAAGCTGGCTCCATTCTCTCAGAGGCTAGAGGGATGGACAGGACAGCAAGTACACAGATGACTCCAGAGTGTGGGTGTGCACAGAGCCGACTCCAGAGTGTGCGGGCGCACAGAGCCGAGCGTGTCCTCCTGAGGAGCCTCAGGACCCTTAGCCTTACCTCTTGGCTGAGGGGCTGTCCCCATATGCCAAGAACACATCTGCAGGCTGGGGTTACAGCTTAGTGGTAGAGCGCCTGCCTAGCACATGTGAGGCACTGGGTTTGATCCTCAGCACCACATAAAAATACATTTAAAAACTTATTAAAAAGAAAAAAAAAAAAAGAACACATCCACACAAGAAAGGCCCACCTTGAAGTCCAGATGTGCAAGGCAGCTGGGGAAAGCGCCAGGAACTGTTTGCCAGGGCCCAGGTGCTGCCCAGCGGTGACAGCCCACAGCAAAAGCATTCACCACCAGGGAAGCTCCCTGACAGATTCAGAGCCACCACCAGGAGCACCATGGAGAAGTCTCCACTGAGTGCAGGCCAGGAAGGATGAGGCACCAACAGCCTCCTTCAGGCCAGAGGGAAGTTTCTTCCCTGTGTCTCACCTCATCCCTCAGCGTCCCCACCTCCCAGGCTGCCAACTGCCCCAACTGAGATGCCAGTGCCCAGGACCTGGGCAACGTGAGGCAGTCGCCTAGGAAAGGGACTTTTGTGCCTGCGCCATGACGAGGCACACACCTCTCCACTCTTGGGCACCTGCCCTTCATGGTTCCTTCTGGGGTGGAGATAGAGGAGAGGCCCAGCCTGCTGCAGAAAAGTCACCCATACCTCATGCAGAGCTTCGCCAGCCCCTGGGTGGGACATTGCAGGTGGCGGGGAGTGTCCAGCCCCCCAGGCTTAGAGGGGATTCCTGGGATGCTGAACAAGCTGCTGTGACAAGAAAGGGCCTCCTGAGCCTGTCATCAGGACAAACTGCAGGGACAGGATTTACCCACCTCGGCCGGCACAAGCTCCATGAGCATGGTCCAGAGAGCACACACAGAAGGTCTGAGGGTCACACCAGGCTCTCCAGGGCACATCCTCCTTCCTTGTTGGGGTTGTCTGTGTTTTAATTTGTGATGACTCAAAGATGGGAAAGCCACTCAATCTGGGTCCTGAGGGTGGGCTTACACCTGGGACACATTCCAGAGTTGGACCTGCTTAGGACCTGGACTGGCACATGCAAGTCCCTGAGCCAAGGTGCCCGCCAGCAGCCACCTTGTGCTTTACAGTGCCAGGTGGGAACAACCTCTTTCCTTGCATACATTCTCCTATCCTGCACTGTTCCTGGTTTGACCTATGAGACCAATTACAAAAACGACAGCAGGGGTGAAGGGCATCAGGGGATGAGGTCCTACAAAGACTGTGGCTTGGACTTGGGGTGCTCCCTCCTGCCCTCTCCCTCCCCCTCTCTCTGATCCCTGGCTCTGGGAAAGCTCTGGCCTGAGCAGCCCTAGGGAGAGGCCCTGCAGGGAGGCATTAAAGCCCCCCCCCCAATCCCAGCTGACACCACCTCCATGCCACCAACACCAACACCACCAAGACCCACACCCAAGAGACCTGAGCCAGAGCCAGAACCCCAGGGGGCCCCCTGACCTGGGTCATAAAAGCCAGATGCACAGGGTTTTAACTGGGGGAGCTTGCCCAGTTAGCCCAAGGCAAAGAAACCCCAGAAACCATTAGGAAAAGCCTGGGAATTGCAATGATACGAAGACTAAAATTTTCTACTTGACCCCCAACAACTTCTCAAACCAGTGTGTGAAAGACTTGATAGAGTGGCGAAAGCGAGCTTCAAGATGTGATCGAAGGCTCCTGTGTTACCAGGTAGAGACCTGGAGCCAACCAACAAGCAAAAAGGCAGATGACCAAGTAGCAATAGGGACAGAGGAGAGGAACGGAAACGCAAAGGGCTTCCACACCGGGCAAGCGACTCTATTGAATAGAGACCGTGGGCTTCCAAGACTGCTGTTCGCTCAGTGCTCAGCTAGGTGACTAAACTACAGGCAGCCCCTGGACCGGCAGGAAGACCAACCAGGGCAGTGTGGTGGAGCCCAGCAGTCTTCGGGGTGGGTGTCCGTGCCCCACGCCTCGGGAAGGCCTGTGCAGCAACACCCAGAAGCTGGGAGGCTCCGCCTGCCAGGGAAGGAAGGCGGCAACCAGCCTTTCCAGGCTCCTTAGTGGGAACCAGTTCGGCAGGTGTTCCCAGGCACGCTGCAGCGTGGGAAGCACGGAGAGGGACGGAGGGAGGGCGGGTTCCCGTTTGCAGGGCTTTCTCTGCGGGGCTCACCTTGACCTACCTCCCCAGGAAGTGAGAGGGCCCCAGCCGGTGCCCAACCACTGGTCGTCCTGGCGCACAACAGGAATCCCCCGTGGCAGACCACCCTGTCGAGTGACACTGGGAGACTGTCACCTTCCTGCGTCCCCATCTCCAGAAGCGTGGACAGACGCCTCTGACAGGCGCCACGTCCTCCCGCGACCAGGCTGCCCGCTCGGCCCTACTGTGCACAGCACCTTGTGTGCAGGAGGAGGGGGCGTCCGTGCTTCGCAGCGAACCCGCCCAGAGACACACTCAGGAGCGTTCCGCGAACGCAGCGGGCTGGGATGCAGAGGGGCCGCCACACGTCGGGGCCCCGGGGCCGTGAAGCTCACCACAGGCGGCGCCAGAGAGCTCGGGCCCGAGTGGGGCGTGGCCCGAGGTGGGGCGGCCGCGCTACACCGCCAGCCCCGTGTGGTCGCCAGTTCTCCTTCCCCGTCTCCCAGTCTCCCTGGGAGCGCTACGAATCCGTCCCGGACCTTCTAGAAGGCCGTGCTGACCCTCAGAACGGGGACCTGTGAGGGAAGGGGACGGGCGGGCTCATCGCGGCCCATGGGCTCCAGGGCCCCGGATCCCGCGAGCGGGAAGGCTTCCCCTCGGCTCCTTCCGCAGGGACCGTCTAGGCGCCCGGGTCGTAGGGGAAGGGGGGCCTGAGAGCCGCAGGCGCGGGAACATCGCCGCGCCACGCCCCTCGCCCCCGCCGCCTCACGCCACCTCGGCTGCCCCACCCACCGGAAGGTCCCTCCCGGCCTCCTGCCCTACCATTCCGGCTAGCTTCACCAATAAGGAAGCTCAGTTCGAAAGGGCGTCCCGCCCCCCTTCTTGTGACGGACGCTTCTTCTGCTCAATGGAGTCCACCCCGTCGCGTTCGCGCTCCCACAGGCGGGGCTATAGTGCATTGGGGCTGTTTTGTGCTTGGGGCTGGAGCTGAGTGCGGCTGCGCTGCTCTCCCTTGCGCACCTAACGCTGCAGGGCCGTCTTTGGGTTGTGCGCTGGGACTTTCGAATTCTTGATTCACCGGAAGTTGCCTAGCACACCCGGGAGGCGGGTGACTCTTCCCCGCAGTTCCCCGAGCCTGGGCATCTTGCCCGACAGTGATGCAGCCTCAGAAGCCTGAGGAAGCCGCGCCGGGTATCGCTCGAGTGCGGGCGTGGGGCGCTGGGCCAGTCCAGTCATCCATTGCCCAAGTTCCTCTCACCACTACCCCGGCCAAGACACAGCCCCCCGCCGCTGACCTTTAAAAGACTGGGCCTCCCTCTTCCCGTGGAAACCAGTGATCTTGTTCCCCATATATACAATTTCGTCCCTGGAAGAGTGTTGCGTCAACCTAACCACGTGTGCAGCCTGCAGCAGCTTCTGGGTGGGCTGGTGTTCGCGCAGCCTGATTCTCTGCAGAACCTTGCGAATTATTGCGTGCGCCAGGAATTCTCCCTCTTACTGCTATGTAATAGTCCACGCTGCGGTTCAAAGGGCATCCGTGCCCTTATTTCAAAGGATGTCAGCCCTCATCCTTCAAGACCAGCGGGTGGTTTAAATCCCTAGCAGCACTACCAGAGGATTCTCTTATCCCCAAAGCTCACTCGCTATAGTCCACCTGTGTAAGGTTTGCCATTCTGCCGGTGTAAGGTACTATCCTATTGTGTTGGATTTTGCATTTTCCTGCTCCACGCTGAGCAATGCTCCCTCATCCTAAACTCATCCCCCATCTGGGCTTCTGAGTCAGGGAACTAACTGCCCGTGCCCTGAGGGTGCCTGTCACATGCTGTGGCTGGGGTACTTATCTTGGCATGAAAAACCAGCCTCTACCTCAGAGCAAAGCCTGTCCAAGGAAGGGACGTAACCTTTGTCCTTGGAAAGACCCACAGAGCACTCCTAGGCACATTTCCACCCTGCTAGGTTGTTTATCTACAAATAACAGGAGAGCTCTGCTGCCCCAGGTGTCCCTGACTCAGTCAGGCTAGGTGGGGACCCATAGCAACCCCCTAGCAGCCACCAGTCAGCATGAGACAGGGAAATACCTGGGATGCCAGATGACCCTCCCAGTAGTTTACGGTGGTCGACAATGTGTTGGGAAACCGTGTAGTTTAGCACGAACACCCCTCTTGGCTTAACCCAATCAGTTCAAACGAATCCCCCTCTTGTAGTAATCAATCACCCCTACCCAACTTGTTCCCGCCAGTGAATGTGCTAATCATGTTTTAGAGTTGTTTGATTTTCCCGTGGTGTGTGATGATTTGCTAAGAGATGCTACGATGTATGTGAAGTCCCTGCCTTCCCCAAAGAGTATATAAAACTGCTGCAAACCCTGGGCTCAGGGCCTCTCACCAGTTGCTGTGTGCGTGCGGAGGACCCAGCTACCTCGCAATAAACACCTCTTTGCTGCTTACCTCCATCTTGGTCTCTGGTGGTCTTTTGGGGGTCCCGAATTTGAGCATAACAGGCACTGTCTTCCCTCATTCTGTCTCTTCTGAACAGCTCTGGTGTGTGAGGCCCATGAGAAGTCTCAGGTTTTTATGTGAACACACTTATGAAACTAGTACTTGATGATTTCTGAGTGGTCTGTCTGTCCAGGATGTCCCCCATGCTATAACACTATTCGATATTTCCTTCCGTTGTTTTCAGACCTGTGACTGATTTTCTGTGTTCCACTCTTTCACCATTTGGACTTCACCTCTGCCTTTCTGTGGGGCGAAAGAAGCTTTTGAGAAGACTCTCGGGGTTTTGCAAACACATCCATCGTGGGGCATCGTGGTCTTTCTCCCCTGGCCTCGGGAGTGCCCTGGGCTCCAGGTGTGCAAGTTGCAGAGCAGCCTGAATCCTGGGTCATCTCCTGGAGCAGGGGCTTAGAGGAAAGCCATGGGTGGCTTCTGCCTGTGGCCAGAACAATGAAATGGCAGGGTCCGTGGTTTCCAGCAGCTGGCTTTAAGGACAATGGCTAACACAGGATCCGACTTCCTATCTTGTATAGGTCAGCCAGACAACTCTGTCCCACTATGGCACACTGCAAGTGGCCTTCCCCCATGGATCATAGGTGCCAGACTCAAAGCAAATGCCCGGCCACTTGTGGATGAGCCTCTCACCTCAGCACATTTGCAGGGAATTATTGCTCTGCCTCTTCTTACGCCCCGTGGAACCTGCCTGCTCCTTTAGTATGACCTCCCAGATGCTTTTGGTCATTCTTGGGGGTTTTCTTCTCCGTGTGACCTTTCCCGTCACCTTATGTACAGCCAGGAGAGACCCGCATCCCTGGCTTCTCTGAACTGTGGCAGTGAGGTGAGAAGGTGCTGGCCCTGGGCATTGCCTTGTTCCAGAAGACCCTGGGTGTCATCTGGGCTGGAGGAATGGACTTTTCCTGCTGGCCAAGGCCAGGCAGCGTCGGTGGCAGCAAGCAGTTCCCTAGTGCCCTTCCTGGGGGCATGAAGCACTGTTACTTAGTCTCTTACTTCTGGGAGGCTCTTTCTCTTGCTGAGGTAGCATGACCCTCATGGTGGTCATGATGGCTATGAGGTCGACGGTGTGGGATGATTCCTCTATGTGGACTAGACTATGCGTAGTAAAGAAAGGATGAGGAGCTGCGGTTGGGGCTCAGTGGTGGAGCGCTTGCCTAGCATGTGTGAAGCATTCTGGGTTCGATCCTCACCACCACATATGAATAAATAAAATAAAGGTCCAAATAAAATAACACCAACTTAAGAAAGAAAGAAAGAAAGAAAGAAAG